TGAGGACTTTTGTGAATGCTGCCATCTCTTTGTTTCTTTAGGCGTAAAAGCAGTTGGAATAATTCTCGAAATACATATTAGTTATTTTTTATCAATCGACTTTCATTCCGATTGCCGTTATTGCTCTACACCATTGAATGTCCCTCACACGACATATTGCGCAATATCGGAATACGAATAGTGTATTTAATCTGGGACAGATATAACTTTATAGTTCTTGCAAGCCTGAGCTCTGATTCCAGTAACTTGACCTGGCGTCTAGATATTCAAAATAAAGTGAGTTTCCGATCTCCTCAAATATGGGTCGAAATTCCGAAATGCGTTTTCAACTACTTAGGTGGGGTTGTAATATTGATTATCTTGTGGCATATGCCTATAGTGTTTCGAATTCGCCATGATGTCGGCTTTTGAATGCACTTTTTATCGATCTCCTATTGAAATCGCATTCTGTATAAAATGCCTATTTAGGTAACATGCATTTTTCACTTTGAATTTCAATGGTCTTATAAATGCAAATAAAAAAACATGCACACAAATAGGCTTTCATGTGCCCATTTGGTGCAAAATCACGTCATCACATTTTATACTCATGTAGGAATATATTTCAAATGTAAAAAAGTTTCTAATTTTGAGACTTTTCAAGATTGTGTAATGTCCATTCATACGGCATCGTGCCTGTGTGTTTATTAATGCACAATCCGCATCCATTCCATAATTTAAGGAGTTCTATATAGTGTTGCCTTTAAGGCACAAAATATATGTATTTTTCCTTACACGGAAAGCATGCATCTTGTAGACTGAAATGGCTAAGCGCTAATGCAAGGCTGATCTGGCTCAAAATTATTCGGGAGTCGGAAATCTTTTATAAAACCTAAATATACACTTTTCGAGCATTAAATACGAAGGCGACGTGATTTTCTACCAAATGAGCAATAGGAAATCCAGCTGTTTGTATATCTTTAATGAAATATAATCCAATTTATAAGATAATCAAAAATCAGTGTGAGAAATGTATGCTACCTAAGTAGTCATTTTTTTACCGAGCGCGGTTTCTACAGGAGGTCGAAACGAAGTGCATTCAAAAGCCGACATGCGGGCAAATCCGAAGTATTATAGGATTATGCTGCACGATAATCAGTATTTCAACTCCGCCTAAGTAATCCTTTCTTATCGAAAACACACTTCTGAATTTTGGCCCACATTTAATGGGATCGGTCACTCACTGTATATCTTTACCCACAGGCAATCGGCACGGCGTTTAGCGTAAAGGAGCAGGATAGCGGCGTGAAGCGTCAAAATCCATCAGATTTAAAATACCTGAAGCTAATATAAAGTCCTTTATTGTCAATTTACTTTTGAAAATATGCAACAGCAGTTTGTCTCAGGATTTGCCGATAAAGCTAGTGCCAGGTTTCGGCTGGGCTTCGGACTGGAACGAATGAAGGCTTGTCTCAAGAACACGTTAAGCCACAGTGAGAAAAGAGGTCAGATGTTAGATATTTAACTGACCCCCTGCGTGCATGCTTTTTCAATACACTTTAGCGCACACCTCTGGCTGAAATTTTGCGAAAATCTCAAGACGTGGGTGACGGGAAACCAACGAATACCAACTGCACGACGACTGCGGACCGATTTCCTAAGAATCATTGATAAGACTTGACAATATAAAACCTGTCCCCGTTAAACAAGTGGCCTTGCGCTAACTTCCGGAAAGGAACTAATTCCATTGTCCTTACTTTAACCCCAACCTTAACACTAACTCTAACTAGAACCCCCAATCTCTCTAAAATCTAGTGGCACCTGCATTAGGAGAGAGGAGGTTTCTACCGCAGTTTTCTACGGTGTCATGCAACGGATGTACCTCTAATGAGACGTAGTCTGCTAATCTGATTTAATCAGGAAAAACATCACTTTTCGCTCTTCAAAATTGAAAAAAGGGCTGTTCTTGCGAGAGAACTGGTCCTTTTAATAAGCCTTTTGTTACACGTGCAAATGGGACGATATCCATGCGTCGCGCTTCCTTTCAGCGGCGGAACAATCTGGCTTCCCACGGGGGATACCGACACGATACTGCACGCCGTGTATGCATGAATGGTTTCCATTGTTCGTCTCTTGTGAAACCGCTTTCAGCCCATTATTCTCTCACGGTCTCGCGGTAACGTTTACAGCTATTCAGTGGTATTAACTCCCTGGAGTTTGATGCACAGATTATTCGCGGTAACTCGAGAAGCATACAGAACACAACCATCTAAGTTATTATAGTATAAATGAATTTGATCGTATATTCATTGCGCGTGGTAATTGGAGACACGGAGGCTTTGAGAAAATTTTACAACTATAAACTATTTTGAGACGCCTGAATGACGATTCTTCCTGAAACCTAAGATTTTGGAATCCATGGTACTACTACCAACGGATAAAATGGGACTTGCATATTGCGAAATGCATTCTACGCTGCAGGTGGCCTCTTCACTGAGCCACAGAACTATATATCAATCTGCTTCAGAGAAGACTCGTCTGTGGAATAGCAAAACGCAGGAATTGGCGAATGTTTTTAGAATCAAAACACACACCACCATTGATGTTTCATGGATCCAGACGCATTCTGTGATCAGAGTCGAAAGATTTGGCACAGTGCTTATGATACCACATGAGGTTTATGCGACAAAAGATAGCAGGGAGAGGTGGGACTGACTTTTATGGACGTCTAAACGAACATGAAAACGGGAACCTCCAGCGAACACGGGTGACTTTGAGTCAATGAATTTAGGGTTAGGTTTAAAGTAAGGGTTGGGGTTAGGTCAAGGATTAGGTTTACGGTTAGATTTAAAGCTTACGGTAACGTAAGCCAAAACTAAGTTCAAGGTTAAGATAAACGCTAGTGTTAACTGTAGAATTAAGGTTTAGGGTAAGGTTTGGGTCATGGTTAGGGCAACAGTTTAGTTATATCCTTTATTTTGTCCACCTTTATTACTTGAGCGGGACGTTCCTTTTTCCATGCCCTGTTTAGAAGTCTAAATAATTTAGTTCGCCCAGGAAGAATCGAATGGTCATCGCGGAATGATTTCTCCGCCAGTTGGCGGCTAATGAAACTAATGAAGCTGTTATCCTGCTCCCCCCTTAAACGTCCAGTTCTCCACGTTTGATCCGGAGACGGCAATGACATAAAGGACTCCTACCGTAAGGCGATAAGCTACTACTCCGACGATACCTGCGGAGTCCTATACGCACAGAGCCTACAGTACATCATGGTAAACTTTTGGTATACTGCATCGCAAAAACTGCCTCTAATGCTTTACAAGGCGTTGTGAGCAACTCTGAGTGACCTTCTGAGTGCTACTATAATTCGTCGTCCATTCGGAGTCGGTAACATTTGCCTCCTCATAAAATTCCTTCAAAAAAAACCAGTTTCGCAATGAACTGCGTTGACAGTACACGAAGTCGCGCGACTCCAATGTCTCATTGGCTGGGTCTCCGGGGCCGTGGGAGTTTCTCGGAGTGGGTACGTAGTTGCTACGGGCCACAACCTGTTCGTGCATAATTAACACAACAATTGGCCCTGAAAATTTCAATTAAGTTTGGTGAGGCTTATAACACACAACTAGCGTATCGCCACGAACGATGTCCAGTCACCCATGCCCGCGGTAGGTGCATTACATACGTGTTGGTTAAAATTCTGTTCGAGTGTTTATTGTGGACCATGGGGTTCGAAGTGGAGCGCCAAGTTGCGGGCCCGACCATGCCACCCACCTGCACCCTTCCCTGCCTCTGACCTTCTTGACTCTGTCTTGATACCGAGAGGAGGTGAGGGAGGCGGAGAGAGCGCGGTAGATGCTTCGCAAGTCCGCCCTCACTATAAACTAAATTACGCGCAGGTCACCGTGCCTGTTCTCACCTTGCTGTGGAGCACGCTGTCGAGCTGTCGTGCGTGCGTGACAAGTGTTGGACAGAAGCGTCACGACGCGTCGGTCGATTCATCAAAACTCATCTCTATTCGGTGGACAGGTTCGAGCGAACTGCTTGTGCATAGAAAAGAAGAGAGAGAGAAGGGGGGAGGGAATGGGAGAGGAAGAGACAGACGGACAGGCAAGGAAGTCAATACTGACGAATTCCTACATATGGAAGGTCGCGCATTCCATGTGGAGGGCTGTGTGAGCTTCCTCCTGTCTCGATGTGTTGAAAGTAGTGGATTATTAGCAGACTGTTAACTGATGGGGCAACTCGGTCCCGCTCTGAAACGAGGGCCGCACTGCAGCGGCTCCATCTTAACGTGGTCTTTACGACATCTCTATATTCTGCGAGATCTGAGTCTGTCGGAGGCGACGGTCCATTGTACGTGCGAACCGCCTCCTACATGCGGCGCATTAATGTGATCCACCCCCGCGGATGAGTACACTGTAAGCGTCAGCCTCGGGGTCGCCCTGCGGCCTCCGCATTAGCGCACGAAGTGGACACCTGCACCAAACAGTTTTGTGGCGGAAGGCACCTCCGATGATGGATGACAGAGGGCGATGCGCGATAAGACAGGGTGCCCAAGTTTTCAAAAACAAGTACCTCTCTCCCGCCACATCCGCCCATTAGTTGAGCGGCCTTCCTGACGCAGCTAACTGCTGCTGCACTCGCCTAGGTGCGGGGTTGAAAAACACTGGACGTGGCGGACGTTGGTGGACATGTCTGTCAGTTTTTATCTCCATTGAGTTTGACGAAGCAGTTGGGAGGGGGGAGGAGAGAGAGAGGGTACGAAACGGAATGATCGCGGATGACGAGCATATGAAACAGCAAAGAGCAAGCACCACCCTATTGGTGAAGAGCAGCCTGTGCAATTAAATACACAGCAGGATAGAAGGGACTCTGGGAAACTGACGGAGAATGCAGCTGAGGCTGAAAAAAACGGAACGGCCGATTCTTTTTATTGTCGTTCTTTTATCATAATTTACCAGCTCAATTCATCAGCTGCTACCGTCTATACAAAAGGTAACAATAGTAATAACAACATCGATTTAACTACCATCCCGACGACGACGACGACCACCATCACCACCACCACCACCACCACCACCACCGCCGCCGCCGCCGCCGCCGCCGCCGCCGCCGCCGCCGCCGCCGCCGCCGCCGCCGCCGCCGCCGCCGCCGCCGCCGCCGCCGCCGCCGCCACCACCACCACCACCACCACCACCACCACCACTTGCATCGTTAATATTAGCTAACTCGACCTCCGCCGCCAATACACTATACCATACTTCTACTTGTGCAACAAATGGCGAGGGTTCATTTACCAGTTGTCCATTTTCGGTGTATTCATCACTTCTCTGTAAGTGCATGTAGTAAGTCACTTCTTCTGTCATAATCTTCACTGTTATACAATTTCGCCGTCTCCTACAGGCAGCTTTCATTTCTTCCTAACTCCCCCAGAGGTCATGTATATTTGTGTGTGAAAAAAGCAGGTGGTTCGCCAAGTAACATATCCGCCAGAGTAGTGGAGTCTGTGAATATTCTAACGGCAAATATTCGTTTGTAAAAATCTCGCGGTCGCGTCGCTCCACTTGACATTGCATTAACGGGATTATCAAAATCGGTAACCTGAACACCTAACGGTTGACTGTTAGTGCTCTTCCTACGCAGTGACATGTCATTTAAGGCAGCAACCGGGGGGAACTTCGACCGTCGCCGTGGGCATTTGTCATCCATCAGGATGCTGCGGAATTATTTAAGCGAGAAACAAAGATACCTAGGCGGACAGAAATTGACTACCGCCCCTCCCCCATCTCAGGCCCTTTCAAATGCTCACAAATACTTCCACTTGAGGAGTGACAGAGGCAATTTGGTTGACTTCCATCCAGAAGCACCCATCTTGTCAACAATGATGCCCCAGCTTGCGTTTTGCAAGTACCCTACCGCGGCTCGTTTTCAAAATCAGGGTTAGAACTACAATGTCGGTGTTTTGGCTGCCTCCCCCTCCCTCCCTCTCAAGTTCGTGATCACCACTTTTCTCACTCACGGACACGTGTTTTTACTGTTTGAAGTGGAGACACCTTGGCAGGCAGGCAGGCAGGCGGGCAGGCGAAGACAGCGGCGAGTAAATGCCCATTTCAGATCGATCAGTCAGGGCGCGCTAGCCAAGAAGTCTTCCACCTCCGTAACCTCCCTTCCCCTCTACCGAACAGAGAGAACGTATCTCCTCTTCTTCTCACCTCAGGAGTGGGCGAGAACGCAAACCTGCAGCCAAGGGGGGGGGGAGAAGGAGGAGGAGGATCTGATCTGATCTGATTTCTTCACTCGAGTAACTCTCCTTTTCGCCGCAAATCACAGTGATTGCAGCAGGTGTCAAGACGTGCGGGTGCACGTATGCACGCACGCGCGCGTTTACTCGGCGTGATGCGGAATTAGTGCTCTGGGTTGGGGAAAAATGGGAGGGGGGAGCTGTAGGCAAACATTCCTTATGAACATTGTGCTGAGATTTCACTGTAACTCCCAGACGCCATTTGACAACACAGCCGAAGGTGAGAAGAACTAGACAAGCTCCGCACGTTTAGCTGCTGGATGCTCAATAGATTCGCCGCACAGGTATTCGGGCACCCAGCCAATCCACAACATCCTTCCCGACAATAAGTATTCGAGAGCTGGCTGAATTAAGGTGAGAATGTACACATAGATGCACGGCAACTTCTTTGGCGCCTAAGCTTACTGTGAGGTAGGGAATCTGGGTCTAATCCTCAGAGACTCACTAGATTCCCATTTGAGCTCTTCTTAAGATTTGATGACCTGCTCGGACGCGCCAGTGACCGAGCAGTTTGCGGCGTTGGATCTTGAATTGTCGTGAAAGCGGCAGTTTAAGTCTCTGATCATATGGATTAAAAGTTGACTGCTGGTCTGGCGAGGAAGTTCTGACGTCCGGTGGTAACAATAAAACGGATGAGACCTCGAAAAGGAAAATGATAATTGTGTGCTTCCGGAGTTTCCTGTAATTTAGGACAACCGAGAGGTGGGGGAAGTTAGGTTGCATAAGTCACCTGGATGTAGTGAGGGAATTGAGGGTTTCTGTAAAACGGACGTAGAATACCGCAGTGTAGGAGACTGACTGAGCAGAAGGTTGAATCTGGTGTCAGTAAGGACATGTTAGCATCAGCACTCCTGCATTCATTCAAATTTGTCCGAATTCCATTTTGACGAGTGGCTACTTCCTGAGGTGTGAAGTTCGGCGAGGTTCTTCTTTTAATGCGTGCGCTTCACAAGAAAAACTGGCTAGATTTCAAGACGTATACATGGTTACTTTTTGTCTAATCTGCCTAATCAGCGTGGCACCGACTTGGTGTTAATGAAAATGGATTTTCAAGGATTTTCAACGTTCCATCGTCAAACGCAGTGCGCATGAGCCGCGGGCAGGCTATCACATACGATTCGCACTTTTGTGAGCGTTGAGTAGGCCGCGGCGAGGGAAAGATGACGATCTTTCAGTTGGAAATCAACTAGACCAGTTTCTGTCACTGCCTATGATGATGGGTTCAAATGAGAATCCGAAACGTCAGACATATAAAGCCCTTGTTCGAGCGATCGCTATTTCTTCTTCTTCTTCTTCTTCTTCTTCTTCTTCTTCTTCTTCTTCTTCTTCTTCCTGTTCTTATCAACTACTTCCTGGAACTCGCATCTTCGCTTGTATCTGACCTGAATTAGCTGATGATGAAGTTTATCGGTGTAAACGAATGGTGGGCTAGTTTGAGGTAAATGTAAGTGATGCCGGTTAGGTGGTCGAGATGGCGAAGTTTCGGTGAGCAAACACATGTCCGGTTGTAATTGTCGTTTTATGGCGTTGCTAGCCGAGCGCGCTGGCAAACCTTTATGATCTGCGTCAATATAAACATACATATCTTTATGGCGACTTTTGCTGTGGACAATGGAATTTTCGGTATTTTTTGACTATGGCGATAAAGCTAGGAACGTTCTAGTCGAAACGGTGACTGCGCTCTCAAGGGCGTGCGGTAGAACGCCAGCATATAGTCAGTTGGTGTTTATTAGTGAGTCTCAATACATCGACCTTTGTTTAACTATCGTACATACAAAAGCAATTGACGCATGGCATGCAAGAGTCGACGCCATTTTGTTGTCCTGCTATGGGATATTTACTCCGGAATAACACAGCGCGCACGGAAGTAGTCGATTTGTTTGCAGTATGAATGTCGAGAGGGTTTAGCTGCCTCGCAATGGCTTAGGAGGGTTCATCTACGTAAGGCAGAGTGTGAACCTTCGTGGTGCACTGTCGTCATTGGGATTGGATGCGAGTCCTATGCTTTGCATTTGGGGCAGTTTTTCCTGCAGAAATCATGCGTTAATCGTCAGCTCACTCTGTTATTCTGCCTAAGGCAACCCCTATTGAAATGCGATACGCACACCTCACTTTGTCTAAATTCTTATTAAAGGCAAGAAATTTCGAGTTTG